TAATGTACCTCCCCAAACTTTCAAGAATTTGTGTGAGTCTTTTCCTACATGGCTGAGGGACATGATTAAGCATAAAGGACGCAGTACAAAGTATTAAAACCTCAGTAAGCGTGCAAATATATACAGTAGACCATCATTTAGTACGAGTTTATTTGGCACGATTTGTGTATAGCACAATTGAAGAATTGCGGCACAATTTTATGTAACACGTTGTATAATGAATTTAACACGATTCAGTTTGCGGGAAGGGGAAAAAACTTCCCTTTTCCTCAAGCGCCTGCCTTGTTGTGGTTCAGCTGGGGAGACCTCTCCACCCCCCCCCCGACACCCCCCACCATCCCAGCATTCATACTTCATACGTGTCTAGTCCAACTTCTCTGCTACAAGCTTGTGATTGTGATTTGATCTTTTAATTGCTATATCTTGTATCTGCCAAGCAATCATGACACCCAGTAGGCATACCAGTGTTGCTCAAAGTGGCAAGAAAAGGTGTAAGCATTTAAGTCTTAGAATTAACAAAAGGAAAAAAAGATATCAGACAAGACATCCTGTGGCCATAATGAAGTGTTACTTTGATGAGATTAAGACACATGTGCAACATCTGGGTATCTTTATTGTAGACGTTTCGCCATCCAGTGGCTTTATCAATACAAATTCTAGGACATAACTTGAAGACAGTAGAACTATGTACAGAAGATGAGGTAATCAGTCCCTCAACCTAGGAGTAGGTGCGAAGAGCACCATAGTCGTGGAGATTCTGAAGAATCTCCAAGACTATGGTGCTCTTCGCACCTACTCCTAGGTTGAGGCTGGATTACTCATCTTGTACTTTGTTCTACTGTCTTCAAGTTATGTCCTAGAATTTGTATTGATAAAGCCACTGGATGGCGAAAATGTCTTACAATAAGATACCAGATGTTGCACATGTGTCTTTAAAAATCATCTTGTCGGTATTATATACCATTCGTACACAAAGTGTTACTTTGTACACTTAGAAAAGAGGTAACATAAGTTTGTGTGACTGACTGACTTACTGAATGATCTGACTGACTTACTGAATGACCTGACTGACTTACTGAAGAACTTGACTGACTTACTGAATGACTTGACTGACTTACTGAATGATTTGACTGACTTAATGAATGACTTGATAGATGAATGACTTAAAGTTAGGGCACTCCAGTACAACCATTTAACTTCAGTACCAGAACCTCTACCATCCACATCAGCCCAGTAGGGCCACAGCATAGCTCAGCACTTTCTTCACAATCATCCACAAACACCAGCACCCACAATTTAACCCTTTGACTGTTTCGGGCCCCTTTCTGAAACTGTCATTCTATGTCGCTCAATTTTTGAATAAAAAAATTATTTTTTCTTATGAAATGATAGAGAATCTTTTCCGATGGTAATGACACAAACTTTGAAATTTGGTAGAAAACTCATGGAAAATTTTTGCTCCCGTGAAGTTAGCATCTCGGCGGGCATTGGTATCGGGGATTTAGGCCGACTTTGAACCCCACTTTCAGCCCAAATTTTATTGTTCCAGTTGACCAAAAACATA